TATGCAGATGACCTTGTGTTAATGGCTAAGGAAGAAACTGTGCTACAGGGCATGATTGATAGACTAATTGAAATTGGAAGGTGCTATGGCATGGAAATGAATGTGGAGAAAACAAAAGTAATGAAAATTTCGAGACAACCAACCCCAGTCACAATAAAGATAGACCAAAAACAACTGGAGAATGTGAAATGTTTTAAATATTTGGGTAGCTTGTTAACAGATGATGGAAGGTGTACTAGTGTTGCAGACCAATTTTGAGACTGGAAATTTAAGGCATTGCCTTAAAGTTTCGAGACTTGCGAAAAATGTTTTACAGCCATTACATTAGTATGTCAACACCTGGACAGGCAACTAGGTTAAGAATGTTGATGATCAGCATGTATGCGTAATCGCACTAGCAAGAAGCTTGCCTCACTCGGCCACTGGAGTATAATGATATTATTAAGTAAGCAGCAGCCAAGAGGACCAAGGGCCCACCCACAGCCGAAAGGTAGCCAATGGAAACCTTCCACCCAGAAATTAAGGACGAAAGGAGGAGTAACTTCCCTCTTTCATTAACCGCTGATTTAGCAAATTAAAGATATAAATTACTGAATTCAGGAGACATAGGGATCTGATCTCAAACATAATATTCAGTTGTCAGCCGGAGGTGCTATTCAATATGGGTCTGACGAGTGCTGGAAGTTGGCCTGCATTCTTTTATGTTAAGTAAGTCACGTTTACTCATGTAAGCCATGTTGTTAAACATTAGTGTTGGTAAAAGTGTGTGGACAATATCGAAAGCAAACTCCAGTGTGCTCGGCGAGCCCTTAGGGGAGGATAATTATGTAACAAGTAATTGCCTAGGAAGATAGTCCGGCAATGTGTCTGTGTTATAGTGTATGTGTCAAGATTACTGGTAGTGGTAGTGATAAACATGGTATGTGGGCTTTTAATATGTATAATTTTACGGGCAGATTATTTTAGGGGATAACATGAGGAAGAGTAGCAGGAGGTAAAGTCACTATGTAGACCCGACTGTAGGTCGGTCTTGTTAATATTGTAAATAATGTAAATAAGAGTGTAAATAGACAGGGTAGTTAGAGTAGGCTGTACCGGGATTGTGATTCACACCTCAAAATCACCCGTCCACGACCGATCCCGAGGATCTTACCAATATGAAAGGCAACAGCAGCCGAATGCAACCACAGTTCAGGGGAGGTACTACTGGACAGGGATAGGCACCTGCCACGCAGGCAGCGTTGAGAAGCCTTGGTATCAACCCGCCCCCCTTAAGAATCATAATAATGTAATACGTTGCTACCTGCAGATTAATGAAGGGTTGTCAAGAGGGAGCTATGACTATATGTCAGGGAGTAGTTCCCACAATAGAGATGACAGACGATAGGTAGAGGCGGGTCAGACCTGACACGCCCGCTCTATGCCAATAATAAGAGGTGACAGTGATGAAAGGGCCAGCCAACAGAGAACGCTCGACTACCGCGCTACTGGCCCTTAGTACTTTCATCACCTCTCTTAGTATTTTCACCAACCTTCGTACGATATAATAGATAGTGGCAGCTTAAGTAAGGAAGGAAGCCCTGAAATAGGAGAATCCTAGCTGAGGGTAAGCTAGGATTATGGTGTTAACTCCTTACAGCATAAGCTGTGGTGGCAAGGAGGGATACCTCCACGCCCCCCGTCATCACGGCGTTACAAGTGGTGGCAGCGGTGGGATACCTCCACGCCCCCTGCCACCACGGTGTTACAACAAGTGAAATTAAATCTAGGATTTCCATGGCAAAAGCTGCATTTAGCAAGAAGAAGAATCTTTTTACCAGCAAATTGGACTTAAATTTGAGAAAGAAACTAGTGAAATGCTACGTTTGGAGCATAGCTTTGTATGGGGCTGAAACTTGGACACTTAGGGCAGTAGATCAGAAACACCTGGAAAGCTTCGCAATGTGGTGTTGGAGAAGAATGGAGAAGATCAGTTGGACCGATTATGTGAGAAATGAAGAAGTGTTAATTAGAGTCAGTGAGCAGAGGAATATCCTACATGAAATAAGAAAACGGAAGGCTAATTGGATTGGTCATATCTTACGCGGTAACTGCCTTCTAAAAGAAGTTATTGAAGGAAAGATAGAGGGGCGGATAGAAGTGACAAGAAGACGAGGAAGAAGACGTAAGAAGATGCTGGATGACCTTGGGGACAGAAGAGGATACTGTCATTTGAAGGAGAAAGCTCTAGATCGCATCAAGTGGAGGAACTGTTTTGGAAGAGACTGTGGACATGTCGTCTTGACAGATTACAGATGAATGAATGAATATAAGATATGGATCCATATTAAAGTGTTAACATATTCAAAAGCTTATCACTGTTGTTTCATGGATGCATGAAGGAAGGCTGAAACATGTAGCATTAACATCTGCACCAATAAACAGATGTTGATACTGTAATATCTAATTTGTCTTACTTTCAATAAATTTTTGTGTTGACTGTCCCATTTATATTTTTCTTGACCCTCAGTCTATGTTCCTCCCATAATATCAGAAACCAAGTTNTATATATATATATATATACTAATTAACATCTTGATTCTTCATATGGGGGATGATATAATCTCATCTAGTGACTTTTGTAATCATTAATGCAAAATGATACACAATGCAGTAAACCGTATGTTCAGCAACATTTTACCAGGTGGTCTGATCATTTCTCAGTGTGGAGAAGATAATATATTGATTCCTTTTGTAGGATTTGATATAAAATTTTCATATTTCATTGCAGGAAGAAACCTGACAGTGGAGTGAACAGTCATGTAACAATAACCCAGCCATCCGGATCAACACCAAAAATGCAGTCTTCAATTAAGAAGAAACGGCCACCACCAAAAGCTACAAAGCAGAACAGTGTGCCGCCTGTTAGTGGATTACAGTTTCTGGGAGTGTTTACCATAATTAGACATTGATGAGTTAAGGATAATCCCAGTAAATTTACTTAAAGGAGAGTTGATTGGTGTGAAATATGCAGTTGCAGGTGGTCGGCAGTGTTCCAGTATCTCTGCTGTCAGACGGACATATGACACCAGAGGAAGTAGAGAGACATCTTGAGTCAAGACAGACTTACTTGGAACTTGTGCCTGAGAAGGCACCTCCAACAGTTCCAACAGAAATGTTTAGCAATGACCCATCTCTAGACAGGTATGTATTGTTAGCAAGGAAATAAGACTGCAGTAACAGATTACTTTGAGGCATATACAGACTGTAAATAAATAAATATATGTTACAGCGCTCTGTGGTAGAGAGACGGGTTCAATCTGATCATATTTTGTTAATGCACCCACGTCCAGAAACGCTTTGGTTACACGTTAGGGCCTCTGAAATGTTAAGGAGGACGCCTTTACTTCTTACCTCTACGGCTTGCTGGTAACATTTATCTGCCATTTCTCCAAGAGACCTTACCGGAGCTGCTGGAAGTGGTGCCTTTGGAAGTCCATTGTGAAATGTGGTTCCAGCATGATGGCACCCCAGCACACTGCACTAATGTCATCTGTGAGTATTTGGCAACAGATGGATTGGACATGGAGGCCCAATAACCTGGCCCTATCGCTCCCCTGACTTGACTCCATTGGATTTCTTTCTCTGGGGTACATGCGAAGCCTAGTGTACAAGACTCCAGTGGAGAGACAACCTGATGTTGTGGCAAGAATTGCAGTAGCAGCTGGAACCATCCAGGAAATGCCAGGAATCTTTCAAGGAGTTCAGCAGAACATGCAATGAAGTCAGCAGCTTTTATAATGTAAAATAATTATAACATCCCATAAAACTTATGCATCCTCTTGGAAGCTTCTGTAACTCTTAGTGCCAATATAATCACATTGAACCCATCTGTCTACCACAGAGCACTGTAATATAGTGTGACATATTTGCACTATGCAGGACACCCCCAGCTCCGCCAGCGGTGACGTAACACATTCGGAGAGTTGCCGCTGCTACGATAACAGTCCAGTCAACACCCTGCCCCCTCTCGCGGTGACATTACCAAGGGATGCCATGGTTGCTACAGAGCAGTTAACAATTCTCGACAGTGTTGCTAGGCAATCTGTAAACATGGCGTCAGGCAACAGCGGTACCTATCATGTAAGTGTTTTCTGTGTTGTTTATGCCAAGGCTAAATAAGGAGCAGTGAACACTATTTAGTGAGTATTGAGCCAGTTACTAGAGAAAGAGTAACCAGTTAATTGCAGTCTAGTATTTGTGATACTGCCAATGGCAGCAGTAGTGGAACTGTAAATGGTGTGACTGTAAGAGCGAGTGGAAGAAATTCGCTATATCAAATAAGTTATTTGTTGCGTTATACACCCAACACGTGACATTTGGTGTCAGAAGTGGGATGTATAACGTGACAATTCAACTGACTGGTTATTCGTTACTCACTAGTAACTCAGACACTTGTAACGGGCTCAATCCTCACTACTCACTGAATAGTGTTCGCTGCTCCTTATTTTGCCTCAGCACAGACAACACAGGAAACAGTTACATGATAGGTACCGCTATTGCCTGTCGCTGTGTTTGCAGGTGTTGCTAACAATGCTGTCAGGAGTTGTTTACAGCTGCGTAGCAACTGCGATATCCCTTGGTAACAACACAGTTGCTCTTCTGCCACATCACCGCAGGGAGGCGGGTACCCACCGAGCATTTCATACTGGTGTAAGAAGTGGGGGTATGTGACGTCACTCGAGGAAATGCAGAGTTCACGTGACACCCACTTCCCATTGCACCATCCACGTCACACTATATTTATTTACACCGTGTATGTTTACAAGACTGAATATTGCAGTTACACACCTGATTATTACATTTCTCCTTCTCCCTTTTCCCATACAAAAAAGAATGAGGATTCTGTGAAGAATTAGTTTATGCAGAAAATTATTATCTGCTTAAGAGTTAATAATATTTTCTCTGAATAGCTAAAGGACAAACTTGTACATTTTAAACTATGCTTAGTAGTCTTTGATGGCCTTCTTTATTGTTGGAATCCTGTTATGTATCATTAAAGGGGTTTGATATAGCCATCAACGCAGCACCTTATATAAGTAAATAAAACTAATATTATGTTAATACTGTTTTATTTTCCACACTACATGGCACTCCTATCATTAGCAACGTATTTCGAGACTGATTACTCTTTGTATTTATTTGTTTGTCTGTATTTCATCTCTTACAGTGAATCTAAATATTACAGCAAAGAAATTAAATTGAGAATTGTGTTTGTGGCTTTTGTATAACTATTGATTGTGTGTAAATATAATGTGATTAATTGCATTTCCTTTTTCAGTGAATCTAACGAGGTTTGTGAATTAGAAACATCTCCTAGTAATATGGGTGAAGACTGCCTAAGTGTGGATATGATTCCTGAGTGAAGATATCTTCCTTTGTAACCATCAGTTTATGTAGGACTTGAAGTTCTCACAGCAGTGGGTAAGAAGAATTATATCTTCTGGGATATAATGCTCTGTAGCCAATTGAAAGGCAGAGCTTTGCTTATTGTTCAGCCCTGAAGATGGAGGCAATATGTACCTCTGAAAATATTAGTTGACCTTAATTGGACTATACAAAATTATAATCCCAGAAAATAGAACTCTTCAGAGCTACTGGACATTATTAAGCTTGTACATGAATTTTTTTCTTTACCATGCACCTGTTACTGGAATGAAGGTGTGACTTCTGAAAAGCATCTGTCTTCATCATGGAAGAAATGTGAATAGTCCTTTTGCATTTGTTGTTAATGCTTCTTGCTGATACAGAATTATCAAAATTATGGTGTGATTTATGTCACTTCTCATATTTAAAAGAACTGTGTGTCTTCACGGTGCTGCAGAACCTTTAAATAAATCATGTATTTATACAAATTATGTTGTGCTATACCTCTCACACATCAGTACTCCATCACAGTCATGCTTAAATTCCAGTCACATGACAGCCATGAAAACAGTATGGGTAACATACAAATATGTTTGTATGACTTTTCTTCCTAACAAAGATCATTATTGCTGGATTTGAGGTTCTCTTGGACAGTGTCCATGAACAGTAGTCTTCTGGGTTGTGACACTGTGTAGTTCACAGAACACCGTATGTTTCAGAGGGACATACTGCTTTCATCTTCAGAGTAAAGAGTAAGCCATGCAAGCAACTATCAGTAACAGGCAGAATGCTCACTTCAGCTTAGCTCAATCTTAAACCCTGAAAATGGTGGCAGTATTTCTTTGAAATGTTGCGCTGTATCTGAACTACACAGATTTACAATCCTGAAGACCATGTTCTTCAATGTCATTGTACAGCAAAATCCCATTTATGATTTATATTATGGACAGTGGAATTGAAAGCTAATATAGGGGTAATGTTAACTGAAAGTATAGCAAGTGCATAGGTTGATTAAAATGTATTTAAATGAACCGTACAGTAAAGTCCACATAGGTAAACATTTGTCTGATAAATTTCCTATCCAGAATGGTCTAATGCTTTATCGCCACTACTTTTCAACTTTTCTTTAGACTATGCAATTAGGAAGGTCCAGGGAAACCAGGTGGGACTGAAATTAAATGGGACACATAGGCTGTTGGCCTATGCCGATGATGTGAATCTACTGGGTGATAATGTAGATACCATATAGAAAAACACAAACTTTAATTGATGCAAGTAAAGAGGTTGATCTAGAAGTAAACACAGAGAAAACTAAGTATATGCTGCTGTCTCATCACCAAAATGCAGGGCAAAATCATGACATAAAGATAGGAAACAGATGTTTTGAAAATGTGGCACAGTTCAGATATTTGGGAATGACTGTAACAAATCAAAACCTGATTCAGGAAGAAATTAAGAGGAGATTGAACTCTGGTAATTCTTGCTACCATTCAGTCCAAAACCTTTTGTCTTCTCATCTGCTCTTCAAAAACAAAAATTAGAATACACAAAACTATAATTTTGCCTGTGGTTCTGTATGGGTATGAAACTTGGTCTCTGACATTAAGGAAGGAACACAGTCTGAGAGTGTTTGAGAACACGGTGTTGAGGAGAATATTTGCACCAAAGAGAGATGAAGTGACAGGAGATTAGAGGAAACTGTATTTTGAGGAGAATTATAACTTGTACTCTTCTCAAAGTATAATCAGAATGAACAAGTCAAGGAGGATTAGGAGGGCAGGGCATGTAGCATGAATGGGGGAGAACAGGAATGCATATAAGATATTGGTGGTAAACCAGAAGGAAGGAGACCACTGGGAAGACCAAGATGTAGATGGGTGGACAGTATTAAAATTGATCTTAAGGATGGGATGGTATGGATTGGATTGATCTGGGACCAGTGGAGGGCTCTTGTGAACATGTCAATGAACATTCAGTTTTCATAAAATGCTGGATTTCTTAAGTAGCTGCACAATTGGCAGCTTCTCAAGAAGGGCTCAGCTCCATGAGTGAGTGAAAGGTAAAGCTATCCCTGCAACAGGCCGTGAAGGCCCATAGGGTTGTGAGACATAGAGGCTCCCACATTTTCTACACAATCGGCTCACAGATGGCAGTAAGGTAAAGGTCAAGCTGTCTCTGTAACAGGCCGTGGAGGTCTATAGGGTTGTGAGATGTCCAGGCTCCCACATTTTCTAGACAATCGGCTCACAGATGGTGGTGAGTTTGTCAACCTTATGCTCTGGATGCCCTTTACCCCCAGGGAGATTCATGGTACTCATTTCTGTTAGAGACTGAGTCAGCCCCAGGGCCATAGTGCAGCTGGAAGGATTATTAGGTCAACTGAAAAAATCCACCTCATCAGGAATCTAACACGCGACCTTCTGGCTTGCAGCATAGTGCCTCAACCAGCTATGTTACCGCATGCCCTCATTACTCTGTATTGATACCATCATTCAACTTCTCAATATATTAGACTTCCTAACTGTGTGTCTGCTTCACACCTGGGTGATGTTATGTTGGTCCACCAGTTAATAAAATTCTGGTGTCCACATCTGTCGAGTGCTTGGATTGAAATGGTTGTCATGGAACGTCAGTTAAGACATGGTGGATAACTGCTTAGTCTGTAGAAAAGCTTATCATTCACATATTGTATTGTCCAGATTATTTTACAATTTTGTCATAATGTACATTATCCATGTTAGGTAACTCCTTTTGTCTTTAAACACAGACAATGGATAATGTACACAAAAAAGGTCCTAACAATTTTCTAATATGTCAGTATTCACTTCTTCCAATGAAGCGAACAGTCAGTAATACCATCAACTTGTGCTCTGCAATGATGTCTGTTTAGCTTGTTGCTTGTGAAGCTAGAAACCTATCTGTATTATGAAACTCCAAAAGATAAACGTGGAAACACGCTGGTGTCTGGAGCTCATCGATTGGGCCCATCTGAGTAGGTTTTACCTGAAGATGGAGACCAAACCCAGTCTCCGAAACATTGTGTTTTGAAATATAAAAAGGAAGGTGTTTTAGATAAAAACAGGACAATGGATAAGGTTGCAGGTTAAAGTCCCAATGAGGCGGATTTTTTTCTATTTCCCTAATCCTTCCCCAGCGGCACTATGGCCCTGGGGTCAACTCAGCCTCTAACAGAAATGAAAACCAGGAATCTTCCTGAGGGTAAAGTGTGGCCGGTGCATAAGGCTGACAACCTCACCGCCATCTGTCTAGAGAAAATGTGGGCCTTCACAGCCTATTACATGGATAGATTTACCTATGGATAATGTCCAGGAACACAATATGTGTACTAATGTACCATCATCAAAAACTCTTAGATCTTTTTAACACAGTGTGTTGAGCAGTAACACCACTTATCTGACATTAATGCTTCCATGATTCTGGAGGCAGACTTCCTTGCACGAAAGCAAACTGAAATTTTTGGTATGTGAATAAGAAACGGAATGTAATTAAGAGACCACTGTCTTACACTCTGATTAACATCTTTATTTCTCATTCATTTATATTGTAAAAAAAGTTCACTTAACTTAAAAGATATATGGACAAATGCTGAATTCAAACAGAGATACCAGATGATAATCTCAAAGCAGTTAAGAGTATAATACCTTGCAATGAAAGAAAAAAATCCATCTCCTGATTCAAAAGTTGGAAATGAATGAATGCTCTTTTGCTCATACATGTTTGTCTGCTTCTTCACCTACTTCAGTCATTAATACAGAAGAATGCAGAAAATTTCAATGCCCTGCAATTTCTTTTAAATTTCTTGCTATGAAAGGTATAAGATTTCAAAGATGGTACAAAATTTATAACAGACTACATATTCTGAGAAAAGGGCATTTGAGCAGAACTGTGACTGTGAATTTACTACAAAGCAACCTGAATAAACACATCTTAATATGAGGAAACTATGAGCAGATTAAACAAATTATAATCTTCAATCTTGTCTCTGGTGTTGGCAGCCTCTGCCTATGATGTACTTCAATCATGGTGGAAGAACACTCAAAACAATAAAATTTAATCACTCATACTCCTCCTGACTTGCTTCGAGCTCACTGTCTCTTCAGAAGCAGCAATTACATCACTCAAAATCCAACTTTCTTGCATGTCTGTTTCTTCTTACCAGAATCCTACAACATTCAGAATGCTTGTAACATCAAAATATGGCCACCAACGAATCAGCATATGACACTACTTTTAAATAAAAAATATCCTATAATTGATTCTATTTCACAAAATTGCAGGACTTGAAATAATCTGCACACTTCCAAGAAAGGCAAACAGATGAGAAATAAAGCAATTTGTACAAAAATCTATCTACAAACAGGGAAACAATAATGAATGCAGACTGAAAGACTAGATTGGGTTACCATAACGAAGTGGGATGGCTTTCTGTCTTCTCTACAGCAGAATTTAAAGGTTAAAAGAAATATCAGTTTGAAGCTCATTAAGTACTGGCCTCAATAGCCACCAGCAACTCAAATTTGTTTTTAAATTAAAAATCCTTCAACTGTTGTCATTCTGCTGCACAGAAGATACAAGATGATGTGCCATCGCCTATCACATCGAGCTAAGCTTGCAGCAACAAGTTGGTGACCGCATCGCCGTGCCAGCCCAGTCATCCAACACACCACGATTTGTCCGTTACTAACACCAGTACTGTAAGGTACCCCACATTTAACTTCTACACCTACACAAACTGACAGAAACCTGCTAGCTATGGTACTCCCGCAGAAGCTCAAAGCTTGCCTGTGGTAGTGGTGGTGCATGGATTGTGAGGCCTTACAGAGATGGCTCACAAAGACTGCACACATCATCCTCTTCACCTTCAGATGGTTTGGGGCATCATCAATTGGCACAAATAAGTACACATTTAAAACTGACTGATTCATCACATGTTATCATGCCACAAAAGGAGGACATAACAAATACCATCCTAAGCCATTCAACTTTCAAAGAGATACACAAGATAATGGAAAGTTCATATAACAGGGTCGTGTAATACCTTATTCACATCAAACACAGGTTGTAAAAAATAAAAACAGTGCCAATTAAGCATGTACAAACTTTAAATATATATCTATGGGCTTTTTCTGTTAAGAAGAATGAGCCCTATAGGTTCAAAGTTTCTAGTTTGCGTTGCTTGTCGTCGTCCATGATTAGAAAACAAAACATACACTCCATTATTGTGTCCAGTTACAAGAACATAAATATTTCATTTTCTTGATGAACCAGTAAAATCCACATCAACAATTCATGTCATGGTATTTAGTTTGGCTGTCCCAAGTGCACTCATTTATATTTGTGACTTCACTCAGAACAGATCTCACTTTAATGCAGTGTAATTGTTTCCCACGAATAAAATCCATATCAGGGAGCTAGTATCTCCCAGAAGGCTGTTCAATAGAATATTGTCCCTCCTGCCTGCACTTCATAATGTCCCTGGTGGCCCGTTCCTACCCATTTGCCAACTGTCACATGACCCAGTGGCTGCACAACACAGGTGGTCAAGGTGACGATGGGTTGGGCCGGGCCGGGCCAAGTCTCAGTCCCAGCCATTCTCCTTGATCATGTGGGCCAGCTCAATGATGAACTTCCCTTCCTTGTACTTCTGACTTGATTCAAATGCATGTTCCTGAAACAGTGAATCAGCTTGTTCAGAACAGTTTGTCACATTACAACTCACAGTTCGTTAGTATGAAAATCGCCAGAATAACTAACTAAACTGTACTTTGCCATGATGTGGCTTCTTACCTTTGACAGTACAAAAATATAAAAGGTGAAGTTGTCCCTGTGCTTAATTAGTTAAGCACTATGCCATGAAGACATATGGGGCAATGGAGGCATAGCTCCACCATTATTGAACTCGGCACCAGATGAGGGTGAGTGGTCAGCTTCGCACCCAGGCTGCTTTACCCCTGGGGAAATCATCCCCAGTAGCCACTCGGTAGGAGGCTAGGTGAACCCCAGAGCCAGTTTGGACACTGTGGAGAGGAGTAAAATCTTGCCTTGCCTTGCCTTGCCTTGCCAGGAATCGAACCTGAGCCATCCAGCTTACAGCCCATCAGTATATCAACTGAGTTATTCCAACTCCAATAAAACAATACATTATAGCTAAACCTTTAAAGAAGGAATAACAAATTAAGAAGAAATATATTCCTGTTGGTGGTGGAGGTGATACTAACAGCAATTATTCTTTCTATGGGTTATTCAATGATGCTCTCAGTATCTAGAGTGTATAGCAGCAGACTGTAGCATAACAGATTAATGATGAATTTTAGAGAATTTGAAAGAAGCAGTCATGGCCTAATCGAGGTACTATCCCAATATGTGTCTGGAGGGAAGAAGGAAAACCCACAAAAACCTCAGTCTGGATAGCCGGCTTCCCAGCCAAGATCTGAACCAAGCACCTTCTATATACAAATCTACAGCATTACTTCTACATTAACCTGTTCATTGTTTTTGTCGTCACTGTTGTTTAAAAAGACGTATAGGGAATAAAAATTGAACAATATTTGTACACTGCTGCAAAAGCTGTGACTGACACAGGTCCACATAGTGGCAGGAGTACAAAATAAATTGCACAATATTCTGGATGTTTTAGATGTGAAATGTACCTTATGGTATAGGGTACTAACAGTTCTGCAACTTACATATTTCCAGCCAAGTGTTGTTTTGCAGCACTCACAATATATGTCAGCAACAGCATGAAGTCCTGTGAGAAGTACTCGCTCCTCTGCTGGCCCACAACCAACATTCACCCTGAAACATATCACATGTTTATGAGCTGGAATAAATTACAAAGTTAACAGTCACAACACAAGACACATGTCCTGTTTTAGAAGCTGCACCATGGATCAGAAGAAAAAGCATAAAAACACAAGCCATGAGAGCCACACTCAGGAACTTGACTATGGATTTCATGTGTATGAGGCAGGAAGCTGAAGTTTTTCAGTAAATATATGCAACTCAAACCGGCACACTCATATTAATCTAAATTAGCCAGTGTACCCATGTGCAGAGGAAGAGGAGGGAAGATTCCAACACAGAAGGAACATTAAATAATAAATGTGACTCTTAAATGCTTAGAATCAATACTAACTAATGTTGCAACATGAAGCAAATATTAAAAATGCATCTCTGAGGGAACCTTCCAACAGAAACGTTACATGGATTTGTATGGAATAAAAAATATATTTCAGGAAATTAAAGAAATACTTCACAGCATAGCTTAAAGTACTGGTATATGCATGGAGGTGAAGTGTGAACACTGACTGAACAATTGAGGAGTAAAATACGAATGACTGAATTTGGTTACTTACAAAAATATATTAAGGGGACACAAGAAAACAGACTGTGAAATAAACACTGTGGGAAGAAATGGATTTTACCTCATCAGCGATAAGGGACCTCAAAAACAGAACACTGTATGACCATACTGAACAGATGAAGCAGTAATCATTTCCAAAAATCTGTTACACTGGTCACCACATGAAAAAAGAGGAAAAGGAAGACCTACATGTAAGTGGGAAACATGTTTGAAGTCCATTACGGGTGAACAGGTTTTTGGAAGGTGGAGACTAGGAGAACAGTTTGCTGTGGAAACTGGAGAGGGCAAGGCCATGAATAAGATAAGGAAGTGATGCATCTTTTTTACAGGCAACATGGAGTAGCTATACATGGGTGTCCGTGTTCACTTGCATAACATCCACACACTTGCTGTAAATATGAGGGAGAGTCATTAAACAGGTCACAAATGGAAGTAGAACAGCTGCAATGGACGTAATAATCGCTGGGTAGCAGCACAGTCCAGCTTCATGACAGTCTAGGTAGCAGACGTACGTGTTCAGAGGCTGGTTTCAGTAGTCAAAATAGCTACCATACTTGAGATGTGTACTACCGGAGAGCAGCGTTCTTTTGTGCGTTTTTGTGGGCAAAAGGACTCAATGCAAAGCATATTTATAAAGAAATGTTTCCTGTTTATGGTGGGAAGTGTTCGTCACATAAAGTGGTTCACAACTAGGTGAAAAGACTTTTGTGCTGCAGGTTTCTATGCTCTGGTAAAGCGATGGGACAAGTGCATCAATGTTGGTGGAGGATATGCTGAGAGATTTTTTTTTTCCCCAGGTTCAAATATCATATGTTTTACATTTGACATCCATTTGTGACAAATTTACTGACTCTTCCTTGTTGCATTATTCTTATAAATCTGAATACAACCAATATGAATGGTAAAATCAGTACTGTACATCTGTAGAATACTGATTGAAGCAACATTTTAAATAAAATAACACTGTTGATTTGAGGCTCTCACAGGAATTACTATGAAATGTGCCGTTTTTTTGGATGTGATGTCATGTAGTCTGTAGCAGTACTCATTTTCTTTTCCTTCCTCCTACCAGTTCTCTCTGTGCTCGTTTACAGGCCTATACATACATGGTCCTGGGTTTCCTTGCATGCTTCACTCTGCTTACTGATTACCGACTGCGTGCTTAGCTAACTCCTGCCGCTACAGGCAGTACATTCATTCAGAATGTTGAATTTCTACTGGACACTACAGCATCACATTGCAGAAGACAGTACTCTTTAAGACAATACTGGTTTAAAACCAAGTCAGGAGAATAAGTGAAGTAATAAGCTGTATGGCATCACCAGCAATACATAAAACCAAAAAACAAACTCCATGGCCTGTAGTCTGCAAGCAAACTATACCGACTGAGCGACCGCCACTTGTCGGCAAAGTTAGTGCCAACGTTAACGGATAGAGGGTGTCGCGTGGTCAAGCACAAAAGATCCCCACAGCCGTTAATCTCGGGTTTCTAGACCGGAGCCACTATTTCCTTGAAACGGCTCCTCAATTATCCTCACGAGGCTAAGTGCACCCCATTCCAGACACACTACTTCTCAGAAAATCTGGTAGCACCGGGTATCGAACCCGGAAACTCTGGATCTGTAGCCAGGAACTCTGACTAGTAGACCATGGATTCTTTATTACCATACTGAAAACGGCTTAAGTTTGGAAAGATCTCTGTGAAGCAATGAAGGATTCTACTTTGAAATATCCGTAAGAGGTCTTGATAAACCTAGCAGCAGAGAGAATGACGATGATCACAGTTTCTAGTATAAGATTCAACACAAAAAATTATCTTAAAAGTCAACTAGGATCGTTTTAATGACCAAAATATTACAACAAATACAGTCTTTTACATCAAATCATAAAAAATTAATTACCAATATGTGCTTTCAAACACGCAAAAACCAAACAGTAGTTATTGTTATAAAACAAGGAATCAATATAAAATATATATTATCTACACAATTAATCGTTTAATAAACTGATGCACACTTGGTTTCAACTTCCTAACAGTATTTTATATCGAAAGTGTCATTTATGTAATGAAAGAGCTGGATCTAAATGCATTACACCACTACAACAGGAGGGGGGAGAAAGAATGCTTCAATGGGTACCCTCACACACAGCATATTAGACGGAAATCATATATACTTTTCAAGTTTCTAGGGGGTAGAGATTAACCATACATACATCTCTGAAGCACCATTCATTCCATAAAACACTAAATTAAAACTTTATCGAGAAATACACGCATAAAAACAGCACAGTGAAGATCGATGTGGGCGTGAAATCCTTCAAACAAAAGAGCTGTTACAATGTCTGGCAGTTCACGAAACATGGCTGTTTAGCAGCTAATCTGTACAGAGGTAAAAATAAAATTTTGCTGCACATAAGCACCATACCATGAAACATAAGGGAAAGTGAAAGTACAGTCCCACACATCCTTGACACTACAAGTAACCAGTCAGTTTCAAACCACTTTACTCCTGAGAAAAGAGCATCTAGTACCCACTGGATATGAGGCTAGGCAGGCCCTTGCCAAGAATCGAACCCATATTCCTGCATAAGGAATTTACACACTCTCATGTGTTCTAGGTAGAGTGGCAGATTGTGTTGTGAACAATTACTATATCCAGGATACAGGTTGATGCATGGAGCTGCTCCAACTGCCACAACCTTAGATTATTTCTTACTCTTCATAATCCTTCCATGTATGTCCCATGTAACTGTCATTTGTTACATATATATATATACTGACAAGCTTATATATCCCTGTGGTTCACATGCTATGTAGGTCAACATGTCAAGCATCACTTATAAAGGACTTATAAATGGCTTTTTATTACTGACATCAGTACATGATTAAATTCATACTGCTGATTTCACAATTTCCATTAACCTGTCCCTCAATAATATAGAAATGTTATTTATTTTTATTATGAAAGTGAAGAATAGATGAGATCAACAATTGTCACCTATACTTTTGCTTTTCTCATGCAGCTTTATACAAATTCCAAAACCCACTACCGTCCCTCTGGGCTGCAGCATTCCATCACCCCCAAATCAGAAAATGTAGGCGTCCATGGTAGAGCACAAGTAATATATTACGCTGAATTTCCCACAGGAATAAAATGTAAGAAAGGGCAACGGACAAAGCCAGCATAACTATGGGTTAGGTGACTGACATCACAGCTGATACCAGGCAAGGATGACATGTTTCTCTCTCCTCCACAGCATCCAGACCAGCTGTGGGGCTGCACAATATGTCTTGAAGGCATGCTGCTAAATTAATATAGGGTGAATTCTGCCTTATTTTGGGGGGGCAAAGATTTCCTAATTAAACATTTTCTGGGTAGGGAAACTGCAGCAGGCATCAGATTTGCAGTGGTTATGTGCAGACAGGACGATAACTGAAAACGTCCATATGCAACCACAGCATCCACAAGCTGACCATAAAACCAAATGGAGGAATGTTGTTGATCGAGTCACAGACTTTGCGCAACTTGTTCAGGCAATCGTTCAAAATTCCAAGCCTTAAAACTCAACTGCTCTGGTGTCCGCCCCATTTCAGAAACCTGCACTACAGTAAGATCTAAAGTTTGTGATGATAGTATACTAATACAAATATTGTGTGTTCTTGACATTATCCATCGTCTTGTTTTTATTTAAAGCACAATGTTTCGGCGATAGAGACTAGCTCTATCGATTGGGCCCATCTGATTAGGTTCCACCTGAAGATGGAGACAGAATCCAGTCTCCAAAATGTTGTGTTTAAATAAAAACAGGATAATCCTCAGAAACACAATATTTATACTGCATTACAATGTCGGTAATGCTGAGTACCCATCCAATTTCAGAAGCTTGTGTACTTTCCTCTACTGGCATGATCTTCATACCAAGTTTCATGATCACGCAACACTTTGAAAAGTATTACACTGGGAACTTGTACACAGCCTGCAGGTTTTCAATCTCTTCTGCTTCTTCATTTCTCAATCTATTCGGTCCTTGGAACCACTCGCTGCTACTACTTTATCTCCCGTTCATTTCCCCTTGGAAATTGACAATCTCAAGGGCCATAGTAACCTCACCCTGTTTGTCCTGATCTCCCTCTTTTTCCTGTCTGTTCACTCAGAGCCATTATTTCCTCCATTTCATTCTTCGCTTGCAAAGCGGCCCTTTAAAGGCCAATATTCTGTACTCTGCTCTCCTTACTCCCTCTGGTTCAAAGACACCGCCAGCTCTGGGCACCTCATCCACTCTGCACCTGGCTTATTCTTTCATTCTGAGGATGGCGATAACAGGTTCTTCCACAACAGTGGACCCTACGTACTAAACTACAAGGTGTCAATCCCAGAAGACAGTAATTTTTATGAATACAGCCTCTACTACAATTTACCTTCAATACAGACCCCATTCTAAAAATAACATGTAATTCATGGGTATTAAATATATATACACGTATATATTGTAGCGTGTATAACCGTTACTATGCTGTGAGGGTTGTTTCTGGGAAATGGCTCAGTAAACATATCCTGCAACAACAGAAGAGCTGTGTTTTCTATGTGGTCCGTGCTGAGATGTTATAAGCAAGGTACAAGGTTAGACTGACATCAGTTCTGTGAGCAGGCTGTGCAGAAAATAGTCAGTTGCAAGAGTGCTCAGTTGAAAGAACAGATGTGAAGAGAAGACTTCATTGTGATTTCTGAAGTGTGCAACTCAGCGAGACTGTTACAGTTTCTGCATTAAAATCCGCTTCCAGAGAATGGCTAGTGGACGCTATAACGGACTGAGGACACTGGTGTGTGTAACAGTGAACTGTAGTGTGAAAATAGTGACAGTGATATATGTAGTCATCTGCAGTTACGACCTGTGAGTGGTCAATAAATCCATTCACCAATCCAAACTCCACCTATAGTCACACATACTACGAGACAATATGTATCCTATAACTTACACTGAATTGAAGAGGTACGCCCTTCCCTGGCTCCCTTGGAAGGACTGAAACAAGAGATTAAAGGAATTAAAATTATTATATTAACAATAAGTGTTTGAAAGATATCATTTTAGGTTTGACCATATATGTATGTGTGGTAAATGAAATACACCCTGAACAACACAAAACTTGAGAGAAAATTCTGTTTACTGACTTAGTTTCTCTGAAAGTTTTATAAGGAAATGCAATATTTAAATATTAATAATTAGTAACTGCTAAGGATGCTGCAGTGCACAATTTCATTCTGAATCCTCTTATAATATAAATGAACATTGCTCATATCTGTCACATGTACATGTTATTTTCAGTCTTTTCAAAATAAACGTAATGCTCATAGGCAACAGTATTCAATGGAAATACTGAAAAGTACACATGAGGACTTATGTTACCCCTGGTATCTGCTTTGGTAGCCTATGATAACCAGTATCACGGTTTCAGAAAGCTGGAAATGCAAGGCACATCTTTTTTTTCCCCCCCAATCTTGCCAACCAGTTACACATTTCTATTTCCAGTCTACAACAGAAATTATAAAGTTAAGATTAGACTTTTCAACTTTAGCCTGTGCACACTTGTAAACAATTCTTTAAAACTGCTTAAAAATAGGAGCATGAGTCAGACTTATGTAAGCTTAACATCAAGCTATGTACTCGTATTTCAAACATATTCCGAGGGCAACTAAGAAAAGGCAAAGGCTGTCTCAGGTAAAGGATTTCATCTTGAAACAACCGGCGACCCAAAGAATAATCACAAGGAATTATGGAACACAGATTTCATTCGAGTGGCTTTGCTATTTATAAACCTCTACATCTGAACTAAAAATTTTAACTTTTCCTAGAAGGTGCCTTTAAATTTCAAACCTACTGCAAATTAATTTTTACCCCCTAAACATGGGTGTGTATACTTTCACCACATAACTGTGTGTCTCGTTATTTTCCCTAGAAAGACACAGTTTATCCTCAAGATCAACTTATCATATCAAATAAACATAAAACAATAAATGATAAAATCTTTTTTGACCATCCAGGAGTGCCAATTCAACACATAAGTCCGGTATTTTGGAGACCTACTCGTACTTAATCTCCATTGTCAAGGAATCAGGGACTTTCAGGATGGATAATAAGCAGTCCTCGAAGCGTCAAATATGTTTCAAATTGACATGGCTGTTGCCTGAGAAGATTTTACAGCTTCCAGCCACCGTGAAAACTTCAAGTCTTATATGAAACAAAACACTTGATCCGCTGAGCTTAACAAAATCTCTTTGAACCATTTCAAAGCTGGAGAACATTACATCATATAAACAAAAAAAAACTCCGTGATTTTAGTCTGCAAGCGAATTATACCAACCGAGCGACCGCCGTTTGTCGGCGAATTTAGTGCCACCTTTAGCGGACAGAGGGTATCGCGTGGTCAGCGCAACGAATCCCCACGGTCATCCCGGGGCACTGCGGAGTGGAAGTTAAAGAGAGGGCCACTTGGAGGGAAAGCAAGCAATCACAGAAGGCAGAGATAGTCAATTATCAGTACCAGTTGCAGATCTTAAAACGCAGTAGAAAATGGAAGGCAAAGAAGAACTTCACAGTTTTTGTCAAAACACCAAAAGCGACAAAGAAGAAAGCTACTTAGAAGTACTACAGGAAAGGCTTGTCTCCCTGGTTCCGCGAGATAAAAATGAACCGCCGTGCCTTCGTGTCAGTAAACCGTATGAGAGGAGGCCACTCCAGTCTTAAAGCAAGCCTAAATAGAATTAACTTTGTGCCCACGGCCTAATGCGATGGTGGTGACGGGCTGCAAAAGGAGGAACACATCTTCTGGAACTGTAAACTGTACGGGGAACAACGGGCAACAAGTTGGACATTTTGGCTGAGAACAGTAAAAAAGAATACCCAAAATCAGTTACAGAGTTCTTAAGGCTAGAAGAAAAAAGATTTCTGCAAGGCGTCTGTTACTTCATAAACAGCATTCCCATATTCATATAAAACAGATATGTAAGAAAAGCAAAAGAAGTAACTGTACTGATTATTAAGAATATACTCGCAGATTTAAGTTAAGGCGTATATTAAGAATCGCGGGGTTAGCGCTATTATAGAATAAGATGTTTATAAGAATGTGCTACAGAGGGCCGGATGGGCACTGCCTAGGCCTTCTTTGTATTTACAATATTTTGCTCTACAATAAAAATATCCCAACGGCCGTTAATTTCGGTTTTCTAGACCGGAGCCTCTATTTTCTTGAAATGGCTCCTCAATTATCATCACGAGGCTGAGTGGACCCCGTTCCAGACCCACATCATCTCAGAAAAAATCTGGTAGAGCCGGGAATCGAACCCGGAACTCTGAACACTAGACCATAGAGGCAGTCTACATTACATCAGATATTTTAACAACTCTAATTTTGATTTACAAGCAAAGAGAGAGCCTTGATTGGCTGATATGTTACTGAAGAATTGGCCGCGCCATAGCTCAAGCGGTTAGTCGCTGGCTTCCCATCACGGCGGCCCGGTTCGATCCCGAGTCTGGTCAAGTGGGATTTGTGGTGGACAAAGTGGCGCTAGGGCGTTTTTTCTCCGAGTACTTCGGTTTCCCCTGCCAATCTTCATTCCACCAACTGCTCCACAATCACCCTCACCTGTCATTTGGGGCTGGTACAATAGGCCAGAAGTGGCCGCAGTACAAGGGACTTAGTCCCACCCCACTAGCATTAAAAAGAAACTGAAGAATTCAAGCTCAGATTTAGAAGTCCCAAGAACATACAGAAAACATGAACATCTTTTCGTGTACACATTTAGGGTTCAGTGCACATTTTCTGATATGTATTTAACGTCCTCTCCGGTCACGGTAGCCGAGCGGTCTAAGGCATGCACTGTCTTCGCTCGCTTGTGGGTTCGAATCTCACTCAGGGCATGGATGTTTCTGTGCGTTTTTCTGTGTTTGTCTACAGGTAGAGCCCTTGCGACGAGCTGATCACCCGCCCAAGGAGTCCTACCGAATGTGTAAGATCTAGAAAAACCGAAGTGAACGGAGTTCATGGCGGTAGGCCTAGGCCCACTGGGGCTGTAGTGCCAAGGGAAGAAAAAAAATTAACGTCCTCCCTTTGTATGTGCTATTTCTATGCCCGTTCAATTTTTTAATTAAGTAGGAGTAAAACTATATTTCGGAGGCAGCAAAGACCAATAATATTCACACCGATTACAGTCAACTCTGTTATTCGGTATCCATACCATCCGAAATTCTAATCCAACGGGCAACATTTAAACGTAAATTCGCCATTTTTATGGACTTAACGAAAAGCAAATCTGCAGTGCACTTCAAGTTCGTCCGTCAAGAGGTAGTTCTTCCAGCCGCCACTAGCAGTGCTACCTGTCGCCTTCCTACTCGCACGTGCCGTTACAGTGGAAGTTAGTTGAATTTGTGACGCATCCGCAATCTCTCGCCCTTCAATCCACTTTCGCCTAGGAAGATCCCCAAGAAAGAAATAAAACGATAACGTGTTATCCTGACTGTGTACTGAGTTTCTGAGACAGTTTTCTCATGCAACCGGCAGATCCATGTAACAGCCACACCCCACTTCCCCATATGTGCCGGATAACCGTGATTTACTAACTGCTCCAATAAACAAAATAATGTGAAATTAATAACTGTCACCAGGATAGAACACATAATATAAAACCTCTGCTATCTTACCTCAGTAAATCCTAAAGTGCATCTAAATAATGTTTAAATAAGAAAGCAGTCTTCTGGGATCTACACATCTACACGGTGACACATCCCAGCAGACTGCTTTCTTCATAGTCACCACCGGGAAAACCTCAAATCTTACACAATGTTTAAATAATCAGCTCGTACAGCACAGAAAACACACTGCGTCTCCGTTATGAAGAACAACTAGTTAATGCTGGTTAGAGAAATAATCGCTCTCTATTCTGAGAACCTAGCCGAGCCGTCTAAGGTATGCGCCGTCTTCGCTTGCTCGGAAGCCGGGATCGTGGGTTCGAATCCCACTCAGGGCATGGATGTTTGTGTGTTTTTCTGTGTTTGTGTACAGGTAGAGGCCTTGCGACGAGCTGATCACCCGCCTAAGGAGTCCTACCGAATATGTAAGATCTAGAAAAACCGAAGTGAACGGAGAAGTTCATGGAGGTAGGCCTTGGCCCACTGGGGTTGTAGTGCCAAGGGTCGAAAACAAATTCTGAGAACGATACGAAACATAAATACACTCTGTGGGCAAAATGCAGGGCATACGAAGATAAATGGGGGCTATACGTAAATAACCCCTAGGGCATAAACAGTTAAGCTGTACCTTACCTTCACACGGTAACCAGCAAAGAGGGACGCTATGCCAACTGATTCATTGCAGTATAAATAACCGAAGATCTGGTGTGGAGACATTCCGCTACCAAGGCAGTTTAAATTTAGTTTAAGTTTCGGTTCGATCGATTTCAAATGCTAAGAATGCAACTAAGTCAAATATAAACCCATCAGTCATTTATCAGCAAAAACCTTCAAATACTGTTCATTCACTATGAATAGTCTGGCTAATTTCTGGCGTGAATAATAATAATAATAATAATAATAATAATAATAAATAACAGTAATAATAATTTCCGTGTCCCTTCCAGAAATAAAACTGCGTTAGAGTAATGAAAATTCAAAGCCGAATTTAAGGAGGGGCGACTGGGGAGGTCGCCCCGGGGCATCCAAAATCACAAATACAATCCACATATTTTACTCGTCTTAAATCACGAAGAGTTATTTTGTTACTTTTAATTATAAGAAACGGGGGGAAGAACCGCCACACCGTAAATTTGTTATTATTATCAGAGACCGGAGCCAAGGAACACGTAAAGTATATTAATAAATGTTTACTGTAAAGGTAAAATTTGTCTGTGCTTAATTTGGCAAGCATTACACCAGGAAGACGTAGGGGGAGTGGAGGTATAGCTCCATGTATTCTTGACCTAGGAATTAGATGGAAGTGAGTGCTCAGATTCACGCCCCCGCCGCTTTAC